TTTTCTTCTGTAATATCTCTGAACATGTTTCCATCCCATTGTTTCGTTTTCTTGAGGAGTGCCTGATATACACTTGAACTCCTTCCCATTTCATATGCATGACCTTCTCACTATTTTATTTCACTCTATTTATAATTTCCCCCCTTTCTTTCATAAAAATATACTCTTTACATTGCTATCCCTGTTCCTGAATAAATTCTATCTTACTGGCATTTTTCCCTCTATAATAATTTTTATTGTTTTCAATTTAAAAAAAATCTGTTGTTGGATACTGCTGCCTATTCATACCTTTACTTGAGAATGGTTTACTCTGGTTTGTTAGTTTCTTGGAAATATGATGGGAGTGAGTTGGAGCTGATTGCAGATTCCCATTAAGTTGCTCATCTCAGAATTTGTTGCCAGATATGCTGTACCCTGGGGGCACGTCTCCCCAACGGTTCAAACATTTGAGAATATGAAAGCACTGTGAATCATAAGGACTGCCTCTACATCGCAGGTCCATTGATCAGTCACTTAATGATTATGTGTCTATTTTAGTGACAAGCTGCAAGGCAGACTGTTGCTATCCTTTCTTTTCTAGCTCACCTCTAAAATCTTTGAGTAATGAGGATCTGGGTTTAAATAATCCTACTATCTATCCACAGAGTGCCTCCTTTATCTCTTCACCTCTGCCTCCCTTGTTCTCCTACAGCATGGGAATGAGTTAAGACTGAGGCATCTTACTCTTCCAAGGCCCATCCATGTGCGCTGTGTGGGCTCTCTCTCTCTCTCTCTCTCTCTCTCTCTCTCTCTCTCTCTCTCTCTCCAATAAATGATTATGTATTTGGTCTTAAGGGATGCTGCTTTTTTTCTTTTTTCCTATCAAGAGAATCTGGCAACACATGTTACTTCTCTTGCTGTATTCCAAAGGCCCAAAGCATGGAAGATAGGAATTCTAGCCCATTTTACTTAGAATAACATTCACTCTTTAACGAACAACTCCATCTCCAAATTTCAATGGTCTCACATCATATAAGCTTTTGTAAGAGTCTATTGCAGATGTTCTTGGCTTTCGGGCAGTTTGTCACATGGAGTCAGAGGTCTGTGTTTTTTCTATTCTGGGGGAGGGGTCTTAGAGTCCCTTGGATATGACTAAAGAAAGGGAGATGGGCGGAGGTGAGGGGAATGAGAGGATGGGGTGGGAGAGGAGAAGAGAGAGGATGGGATGGGAGAGTAAAGAACTGGAGAGAAGAGAAGATAAGCTAGGAGAAGAAAGAAGAGGGGAGAGGAAAAGACAGAGAAGGGAAGAGAGGAGAGGAGCACAGGAGAAGGGGGAGGAGGGAGAGGAATACCTGGTACTCCTTAATCACCCTGATCCCAAAATGACACTGACCACTTCTGTTCCCATTCTGGCTACGGGAACCCATCACAAGCTTGACTAAATGCAAAGAGAAGGCAGAGAAATGTGGCCCATGACTGGGCAGCTGCTCCCTACCCATCGCTCTATTATGAAAAGACAAGAATGAACTCTTGTGAGTACTTCCTCACCTCAGCCCCACAGCCATCTCCCCCCTTTGATTGAAGGTAGCATTTTCTTCAATCTTTTTATTCTTTTTGCTGTTTTGAGTGGATTTTGGAGTACAGTGTTACTAAGTCATTTACAAGTGTGTCTCTTAGTCACCTGAGATTTCCTGTAAATCAGAACCATTATTTTTCTATTTTCCACCACACAGCATGACGGTTGCACAGTGCAGGTGCCCTACAAACATTTCTGGGGTAAAAGAATGAATGAGTGAAAGCTGCTCTTCCCACGTTCCACTCTCTACTCATTCTTTCTTTTTTAAAAAATTTTTTTATTTATTATTTTTATTTTATGTGTATTCTTGTATTGCCTGCATGTAGGTAAGTGCACCTGTGTTGTGCAATGCCAGCAGAGGACAGAAGAGGCTGTCGGATTCCCTGGGACTGGAGTTATGGACAGTTGTTAGCTGCCATGTGGTTGCTGGGATTCGAACCTGGGTCTTCTGCAAGAACAACCAGTGTTCTTAACCACTGAGCCATCTCTCCAGCCCCGTCCACCCATTCTTTCTGTCCCCTCTTTGCTTCTTTCCTTGGCTCTGGAGAAAGATAAGAGCAGGGGTTAGGGCTGCCTCATTCTCTTGTCCGCTTGCCCTTTCCTTCATAGTTTAGCACAGGCCTTTTGTCCCCTGTTTCTCAGCACTGATGGACCCCACCCTTGAATGAAATCTGGCCCATGGCTCAGCAGGGCTCTTGCTGCCAAACCAAACTGAACAATGTGCCTCCCTGCAACTTAGCTGCAATCTTTGATCTGGGAAAAGAAAACTTCTGGCCTGTCTGGGGTAACATAGCTCACTGGTGAGGATACCAGGTGCTCTACCACTCGAGTTGGTGTTAAAACTCACGAACACTAAGTAGGGCTAGGGTGTGGACCAAGTATGTAAAAGGGAGCCTGACCAAGGAAAGGCTCTTTCCTGTTCAATGCCATAACTCAAGGGGCCATTATATTAAAATCTACTTACTGGGGCATGTTACTTTTGTCAAGTGGACAATCCCCAGGCAAGAACATGCACAGACAAAGAGTAGCACGGGATAGCTGGGAGCCTGACCTGTGGAATCAGGTGGACCTGTGTTTAATATATCTTACTCTGCCATTTATTGGTTCTATGATCTTGGGCAAATTGTTTAAGCAATTTGAGTTTCAGTTTCGTCATCTATAATAACATTGAAATAATACTGTTTAACTTGCCAGGTTGTTAGGAAGCTGAATCAAATAAATCTTGGCACAAAAGAGGCATTTGATATTTGTTGAGTGAACACATCCAAATGCCAAATGCATATAAAGTTTTCAATGCAGAACTTGGCACGTTTTGGGCAAACAATGTAGGTTTGGTTATGTCAGCGAAGGCAGGCTAACTTTGCTAGGTTTATTGAAATGAGAAAACGCCCCAAATCTCCTGTTTTGAAACAAAGAAGGTTTGTTTGTCATTCACACTACATGTTTACCAAGGAACAGCAGAGAACTCTGTTCTAAGTCATCCTCAGGCTGTTGGGACAGCCATCACTGTTGCCAGTCAGTGTCCATTACAAGGCAAAAGCATAGTTTTCCATGCTTGGATTCTGGATTTGGTTATTTGACTCCTTTTGGCCAATGGGATGTTAATGAAGCAAGTAAAGACCTGAACATGCACTTACACATTTCTACCCAAGCTCTCATGACTCTTCATCAACTTGAGAACATGCCTGAGCGAGCCTGTCTGTGACAGAGATACATGGAACAGAGCCAAGATTCCCCAGATGCCCAGTTAAGGCCATCCCAAATCAGCGGACACTTTGCTGTTCCCAGACATATGAGCAAGACAAGTCAAGATCAGAAGAGCCTCCATCAAGCCCAAACAACTCCAGATTCATGTGCAATAAACACAATGGTATATAAATGTTTAGGGGTTGTTTGTTATACACCATTATTATGGCAATAGATAACTAATACACTGTGTCCTGGCCTTATGCTCTCCAGTACATAGGAGTCTGTACCTCATCTTAGTTCTCAGAAAGAAAAGTACATGGTATATTTTACTGAAGACCTCAGGAGGAAGTCTGGAGGGGTTGACATCACAGAACTTTATGAATTTCCATTTGTCTTGGTTTCTTGCCCTTGTTTCTTTGGTCAACAGGCTTTCCACAGCTTTCTGTTCACTCCTATCTTACACAGCACACAATTCTGCAAACCTATGTCTTATCTTCTCCTTAAAGCCTCTCACCAATTCGTTCAGAAACCAATTCACTTGTCTCAGATATTCTGGACTTATAGATATGGAAAGCCCTACAATGTGTAGAATCTGTTCTCCTTAGCAGCCAAGAGTTTATAAACAATATAATAATACAACAAGTGTGTTTTCCTCATTAGAAAAGGCAATGCCTAGCTGTGTCATCTTTAGCACCCAGCAAAGCTCTCAGATCATTTTAGGTAGGTAGTAAATGCATTTGAAAATACTCATGACTTAAAGGACAGTTTTTGCTCCTTGCTCTCCAAGGTCAACTAAGTTCCAGTGGACTATAGAATATCTCTCAAAATGTCCTATAACTGTGGTGAGTCACCTGTCTTCTTGTTCAGGGAGGACATGGAGACCCCATGAGATGGACTTGAACCAGTGTCCAGTGTCTACAAAGAAGAGGGTCAACTCAGAGGAAACATCTCATTCATTCTTCCTCTTGTTCAGGGAGGACATGGAGACCCCACGAGATGGACTTGAATCAGTCTCCAGTCTACAAAGAAGAGAGTCAACTCAGAGGAAACATCTCATTCATGCTTCCAAGTGAAGCCAGACATGGTCGAGCTGGACCTTTGACTTGGAACTGGTAAAAGAAAGGAGCCAGGAGCTCCTCCCAAGCCCACGTAACCCCTGAGGAACAGATCCTCAAATGACCTTAAGTGTAAAAATAAATTGATTTGGGGCTGGAGAGATGGCTCAGCGGTTATGAGCACTGACTGCTCTTGCAGAAGACCCAGGTTTGATTCCCAGCACCTACATGGCGGCTATGAACTGTCCTTAACTCCAGTTCCAGGGGAATTTGAAGTCCTCTTCTGAGCTCCATGGCATTGCATGACATGGGTGCACTAACATACATGCAGGCAATATACTCATACACATAAAAAAAATAAAAAAATATATTAAAAAAAATAAAATAAAATAAATTGACTTATTTGGGTCAACTATGGTCTTAAACACCCAAAAGGAAAGTATACCCAAAGCATAAAGTCATCAGTATATTTCTTTAAGAGTTCAAGGGATTACACTTCCCAGACATTAGGCTTAAGTCTATATAAAAAGTTATTTAGACAATTATTTCTCATTGATGATTTTGTTCCTAACCAGAAAGTGCTACTCAGATGTAAGACTTCAAATCTTGGTCCCCAATACTGTCCTGCCCACCTGTAGCTAGGGGAGACAACCAGCTATTGTTGTAACACGATGGATACATTTGTTTTCTCCCCCATCTAGGAGCCTTGGAAAGGGAACTGACACTGATTCTAACCACTCCAACAGCTATCAAAATACCTGAAAGCAAATCCTGAATCCATCACTCTTGAGTCCAGCCTTGGAAGACTGTAGGAGGGGCCTGTGGGGATCAGCCAGAATACTGGACCTGGAGACTTCTGTGCAGGTGCAGCCAGTCTAACACGACCTACTTCCTCAAACTGCTAACCTTATATCTGCCGTCTGGGCTAGAGACAGATGACGCAACCATGCCAATAGACATTATACAGATCAACCCTCAGGGCCAATGGGGGAGGTTTGGGGGTATATAGGAAAGCCCTTTGTACGGAATAAACGAGCTTGCTGGCAGCCCGCTACTGAGCAGCATCTCCCAAAGTCTGTGTCGTTGATTTCGCACCTACTCATCCCCTGCACCCCGCCAAGACGGAAGTCCGACCACCGCGAAACACAGCAACATCTGGCACCCAACGTGGATTCCGGACCTGCTCGCTTCTCACGTCGGCCACAACTGGCCCGCTTCGGCTGTTTTCTTGGTGAGTAGGCCCCTCTATCTTACATTCCACGGGCCGTGAGGCGCGTCTTTTCTTCCCTTTCATTTTCTTCCCCGACCCTACCCCAACATTGCCCATTTTCACCCTCCCTCAGGTACATATCCCCTGTACTCGGTTTGCCTGATGTCTTCACATAAGGGCTGACCACCGAGGAGATGGAACCAACAAGTATTGTCCCGACAGTTACTCGGCAATCCGAGACACCGTGTGGGCATACGGCCGTGGCCTAAAAAACCAAGGAAGTTCCCCACTAAGCCCAGGACATCTTCATCCAAAATACTCCTTTATGAGTTCCCGTTTCCAGTCTGAGTGGCTGATTGTCCTACTTTGCTTTCTTCTCGCACTCATTGTTGTCCTCCTAGCCTCTTATTTTTGTGGCGAGTTCCCCTTCACCCCCTCTAACTCCAACTCCTCTTCTTCCTCCTAGAATGGGTAACTTTCCTTCACACTGCAAGGAGCCCCAACTTCAGGCCTTAAAATCCCTTCTGGTAACCCATGGCCTCAAGATCAGGACTAATGATTTAGAAAACTTCTGGGCGGAGGCGTCTGCCCTCGTCCCATGGATCTCCCCTGAAAACGTCTGGGACCCAGATCTCTGGATGAGGGTTCTCTTTCTGGCCTGCAAACGGGAAATAAAGGAAGGCACAGTGCCCTCTGCCCACTTTGTTCCAATTTTACTGGGTATCCTCGGCTGCATTAAATCTGGCTCTCCCGAGGATATCTTAAAATCCTTCAATAAACATTGTCAGGAACAAAAAACGCCCATGCTTTCGATTTCAACCTCGCAGGTTGTAACGCCATCCTGCAACCTTGAGACCGCAGCACCGGACACAACCCCTCCGTAAAAGGCCCCCCTCCCCCGCGCTAGCTCACCTCCCCACCTCACACTGAAACACCCC